ATTTTTTATTTAAATCACTTTTGCCGTGTGCACACCTTATTTTAACTACTGTATGAGCTGAGTAGTTGAATTATATGGATATCACAAATCAATATAATATTTGAGTTAGAAATAAATATACCAAAATGATCCTGAAGTAATCGCGTATGACGTTGAACACGTCATCATTTTGTAAACACGGATCTTTAAAAATTGCTGATATATTCATAGCTGATCTAATTCCCACTTGTAGGCAACATGCAAAGTTTTAAATGCCTTCAAGCTGTAAGGCGACTTGGAAAAAACAGGATTTTCGTTACGATATAGATATTTACAATTTATAGAGTTCAGAATAGACGTAATTTTTTATGACGTTATTTTCTCTTTGATCTCCTAAGAAAATTATCAACGAATCCCATGATCGTACTCGTGAGAATGCAACGTACAATTGTCCATGGTTGAAGACATCTTTACGAAGATCAATTCCGATTTGATTAAATGTTTGTCCTTGACTTTTATTTATCGTCATCGCAAATGCTAGTTTTATAGGAAATTGTCTTCGCTTGAAAGTAAAAGGATAAGCATCCTCACAGAAAAGGGTGATACGGTGTATAAAGACAGTATCTCCTGCTTTTTCGCCGGTGAGAATTCGGCATTGTAAAAGGTTATTAGCAAGTTCTAAGACCTGTAATCGAGTTCCATTGCATAAACCTTCGTTGACACTGAGATTACGAATAAGCATAATTATACAATTACGACGTAATCGTAATTCATGTGGTGGAAGATTGGGAGGATTCAATGTATTCAAGTATTCTGGTAATATTGAATCTGCAATGTCTCCATTATCACAATTTTCAATGCTATTTATACTCGTATAAATGCGCTCAGTGGTTTTGTCTAATAATTCTACGACATTGTTATTGATCTCTTCTACATCAACATTCCGTGCTGATAAGACAGCTATTTTGGATAGGTCTCCGTATTTTTGCTCAAGAATGAGATTTTTAAACATTTTATCACTTATGTCTGCATTTTTAGGAGCCACGCACTTTTCTGGGGCTAATATATTATTATCATTGTCATTGAGAAGACCATCGCCAAGGGACAACAAATATTTGGCAAATTCTTCTTCTCCAGGCAAGGTTCTCATATTTTCCGTCAATGAAAAAACTTGGAAATTTTTCCACAGGTGACTGAATCTGATGCATAAATTAACCAATTCGGATCGAGTGGCATTTGGTTTAACTGGTAAGAGTTGTCTGAAGTCTCCACCTAAAAGCATTATTTTTCCTCCAAATGGTAAATCATTTTTCATAAAGTCGCGCAATGTTCTATCAATTAATTCTAAAGCATACCTTGGTGCCATTGGGGCTTCATCCCAAATGAAAACATTTGTTTCTTTCAGATATTCTGCATCCTTCGATTGACATTTAAAATGTGACACTGAATCTGAAAAAATAGGAACAGGCATACCGAAGGTCTTATGTACAGTTTTCCCATGCGGCAATAAGATTGCTGCTATACCAGTAAACGCCATGGTACAAATTTTTTTTCCTTTACTTTTCAGAAGATGATAAAGTGTCGTATACACAAATGTTTTTCCAGATCCTCCAGGTCCGTCAATATAAAAACATGGACTGGAAATCATGATCTCTGTTTCTACAACTTTCAAGACTTTATCGACAATTTCTTTTTGTTTAGCATTCAACTTTGCATATTGGGCTTGACCAATTTTTTCATGTTGTTCGAGTCTTAAATCGTCACTATCAACTGTATCAATATTTTGTTCAAATTCAGATAGCGATGGCATCGTAGGAAATTTGCTGATGTCAGATCTTTCGTAGCTGAGAAAATAATTGATCTCAATGTACGCTCTTGAGTACGCTTCTAACATTCCATAGTTCCTCTGAAAATCCTGTGACATGGCGTCCTTGAACGTTTCCCATAGCTCTTCAGGATGATTTGGTTGACAATGTACTAAAATACGTACGAATAATCGTCTTAATTGTCGAGGAAGCATCCAAATTTCACCTTCTGTCATTGCACGATTCCATTCAGTATCGTCTTCAATTAAACCTAATGCTAAGCATGTGCTATGGAACGAATCACATATTTGACCATTCACAGTTCGAAGATTTTCAAAATTGATTGCTCCTTTCGTTGTGATTAATAGTAATCTTAAATGAAAAAGTTCTAATTGAGTCGGGCTAACAGAGTACATTCGTCCAATAGATTTGAATTGCGCCTTTGGTTTGACCCAATGAGCCCCAGTTGATCCAGTTGTTTTCTTGAATACGTAATGAGATGGTATCTCCGAATACGTATAATTTCTAGCTTCAGGATCACGTTGATTCAGTGCAAAATAATCAATTAACATAGTTTTCTTCTCTAGGGCAGATCTTATCGCCTCATCATCAGCAGCATCCTCGATTGTTATTGACTGTTCATTGGGCAAATGAACCGGTAACCTTGTAACCGTATGACTTTTCTCTTGTAATGGTCTACCCAATATACGGTCACATGCTTCAACAGGCCCCACATATCGACTTTCAATATAATTACGAATTTCGTCGTGATGAATAACATTTTCATTACTGGTCGAGTCAGTAACAACAACCGCAGCAGCGTCGTGACCTTTATATATATATTTATATAAATATTTCACAGATTTAATAGTCGAAACCATTTCTACATTAATATGGCAATTGAGTAATTTCAATAATATTGGATTATATGGAACAACATACTGGTTATCAGTAGTACGATCATTAGAGCGATTGTAAGTACCCGTATTTCGGCGACGGTATGTGGGATATCCGTTTTCATCCATGATTGTTTCCTCATGGAAGTTTTTAGGAAACTTTTTTGAGCACTTACCGTTTTCATCTTTGCACCATTCACCGCAAGGCCCGTGAATCATATTTTTCATTACAATATCATGGAGAATTGCTTGTTCATTTGGACATGGAATTTCTGCAGATATATATTTATCAACAATATTAGGCGTAGTTATTTTGCTATTGTGCTTCAATGTAACTAATAAATGAACGTGAGGTAATCCGCGTTTTTGGTACTCAACAACGTAGACATATGCAAGAACTTCTCCAAATAATTTCTTCTTTTCAATAACGTTGAGTAATTCGTTCTTTTTCAAGTTGAAAACTCGTGAAACGATATCGGGTCTGTCAGATGCTGTTTGATTGGGTAATATATTTTCCTTGATTTCCCGCCAATTTGGGTTGCACGTCATAGTTATAAACAAATCTGGTTTCCCGAATCTCTGTACGATAGCCATCGCATCCTGGTAGTGTTGTAACATATTGCGAGGAGATCCAGTGAACGATGACGGTAGAATTATCATTTTTCCAACTTGAGCATTCATTTCAGTTGCTTTTCGGTTTAAGTGCTCAACTAATCCGGTATAGGAATCAGCACGAAGGGTTGATTGTTTTGACCTAGCATAAGCCATTCTATCTTTCTCTATTTTAACATAGCTGTCAACAATCCACTGTTGAAACAATCTTCCTCCCATCAGAAATATATTATTGTCTCGAACTCCTATTCTATATTTCGTGTACGCGGCTCTTGAGACTCTCCCTTGCTTAGTGACACATGGAATATTTACATTCCAGCCTTTTGAACCATATGGATAGAATAATGGATACACCCAAGGTTCGACATTGGAGTCCATAGAGCTTATGTATTGAAGACTCTTCGTATTTTTATTATGTATAGTTACATATGATTCTGGTATGTCACCATCAGCTGTAGTAGTAAAAACTGCAGCAACTTCACTAATCCTTTGTGGATTATATCTTCGTTTGTCGAAGCCAGGTTTCAATGAAAATAATAATTGCATTTCAGGTTCTGGTTCATGACGTGCCCTTGAAGTCTGTATTTCTTCATGCATCATTTTATAAGATTGTGCAAAGACATTACATTCGCGGAGAGTCTTATCTATAGCTTTTGTGATTTCTTCATTCAATGTAGGCATATTATTGCACCGAACATCAATGGCTTCGTTTTGATCCACTATGAAAAGTTGTCCGTAGGAAGGTCGTTCATTTTCTTCTGGATAAAGAGAGGTGTTAATTTGATAGTAAATTTGACCTTGAATTTTAAAACAAAATGGTCCTGGTCTTCTGTCATTGAAGTTGATTAAGTTCGCATTGAATGATGCGAACGCAAATGAATTATTATAACATCGTATTCGTTGCATAAAATGATTAGAGTGTTCATGAGTGCCATTGAATAAATCACGCAAGAGGGGCGGATGATCAGGTAAAGGATCTAGAAGCACTTCACCGTGATTGCAGCAATCATGAAATGAATTTTTCTTATGGGCAACTCTTTCACCTAAAAAATGTTTTGCATTGCAATAACTACATGATACGTGCATTGCTCCAAAATAATGCTCGGTCTCATTCCTTATTCTACTATTTCCATTAACGATGCTGGAATTGTCATCCAAGTTGAACACACGGGAGTGGTCTATTCTAATGCTACATGATGACGATATATTATGAACTGTTTGGCCAGCCGTTTGTGCTGGAGTATCAAGTTCCAAAAGTACTCGATTATTGGATTGACCCGAAGCAGTTAAGTTACCACGAACCTTGTGACGATAAGCTCGCTGTCGATCAGCATTTTTTTGGCGCTTAATTCTGTTTAACTCCTCTTCTTCTTCTTCAGAACGTATAATTTTTCGTCTAGGCATTGTTATTTATTATCAGGATTTGATTGTATGAAACTCAATCTAAAATTGTGTAGATCTTTGTATAATACTGTAAATTTTTTTATGTTCAGTTGAATCAAATTTCGCATTTACATTGGAAATGTGTTTGCTGTTTGCTATTTGTTATTTGTTATTTCTTATTGGTTATTTCTCATTTGTCATCTGTTATTTGTATTTGATTATATGGTATCAAATCAAACCACTTTTCCTGAAAAATTTCAAACCATTCAAAAATGATATAAGTAACGGTATTTTTTCACCAATAATAATGTGCACTGCCATCTTTATTTTTTCATTTTATTTATTCTATACAAAGTAATTTACATTTCTTATTTCTCGAACTGACTTATAAATCTTTCGTGATCATGTACCTGAAAAAAAATTACGGTGATTATGAAATTGTTGTGATTAATTGATGAATCTACTGGATTTTTTTTCACAGTAATTAAAAATAAGCTTACCTTCATGTTTTTACTTGAATGAGTGGTATAGATTGTGAAGAGTGACAATGGGAAACCTTCCCTGGGGGAACTTTTCTGAAAATGATTAAACAAAGGATTTTGAATTCTAATCAATCTTTGGTTATAACTGAATTATTTTTCCCATCGCCTACATTAATATCAAAGTTACTTTTCCTTCTCCAGATTATGCTACGATTTTCAGATATTTTATCCTCCGCACTGAAATCAATGTCAAAAAATATCCTAACTCTTCAAGCGTCTCGAGTAATAAATCGTCCTCCGCACCAGGACAATTAATTTGTTTCCATTAGCCAAAAAAAAAAATGAAGAATAAAAATCAATAACAAAATCACTATTTCATCATTGACTGCTATCATATCAGTAATTTAAATTTCATCAATTTCATGTTAATTTTACTTTTTTGATTGATTTTCATTACTATTAATACTCAATACAGTAGTGATTTTGTTATTAGTTTTTTTCTTTTTTCAATAGATTGGAATGAATCAATTTCCCTGACACAAAGTGAAATTCATCACTCAAAACTTTGGCAACATTAAATGCATTTTTCGGTATTTATTATTTCATTGCTGAGGATAAAGTAGTTAGAAATCGTAGAATGTATTAGCGAAAAACTAATTTGGAGGCCTTCAATGATGATCTTTATTCTGCAGAAAAGTCACTTTTGACACCAAGGAATCGAGTTGTAACAGACTATACGAAATTGAAAAAACTATTATTAATAGCATTAATAATGAAAATATCGTTTAAATTCATCAATACCTACTTTGGAAAAATTTCTTCACTGGATTTCCTATCAATAGTTGAACTATTGGATGACGTTTGTGTAATATATCATCGTTCCCCACGCTTTTTAATGTCATTCACTGCATAGACATCTAAACATTTGTATAATAAAATAAATTGTCTCCCACTTTGTTGTCAGTCATAATCTCTGCGCTAATTAACAATCACTCACAATGTCTGGGCTGATGAAATATTTAATAATTGTAAATATAATCACTTGGCAGCCCATTAAATGGTTTATCCTATTATAAATCAATTTATAAGGGATCAGATAAAGGTTATGCAACATGCAAACTCGTTGCCTGAACAGGAATTAATTCATTATTAATGTTGATCACACTGTTTATTGGGCTATTGGCTTTTTTTTAGTGAAATTATTTTTTCTAGGGACATTTTCGCGCGGGATTTCAAACCATCAAAAAATAGCAATTCTATATTTGAGGGATAATATTAGGAAAGCTAAAAAATAGGAATGATTCAATAACTTTAACTTATTAATTATTGTACATTTATTTTGTCTTTATTAGAGAGATTCTTCATGGAACTCTTTCCATCTTTAACAACATAGTAATACCATACATCACAAAGTTTCATTTGTGTATGCACACATCACATAGTTTGTTTTAAAAACAATATGTTAATCTTTGAGATCATGAATATGAATTGACATATTTAAAGGCTTCACTTAATGTGAAATTATGTTATGAAACTTATATCTAATAGCGTCGTTTTCGTCAAACCTTATACAACTCTTATCAATGAAAATACTGATCTCTATCGACAACAATAACAACAATTATATTATTAGACTTACTTTAATCAACGCAAAACGAAAAAAAAATTAGAAAAGAAATGTGAATGACTTGAAGATATTTTTTTGACAAAAAAACTATGTCCCACTTTGTTTCTGTAAATTATATAAAGAATAAAGATTCAATGAAAATATTTGGTCAAATTCTTAAATGAATCTTAAACTAAATGTAGTAATGCATTAACGTGTTAACAAATCAATACTTGTAACCTAGATTTTTGCTAATAAGTTAAGAGCTTTTTGAAATACTCAAATAATGAACTACTAAAATAATATTACTGTCAGTAAGCTTGCATCTTCATTTGGTTAAATCCACATATTTTGTCTTACTCTTGGACAAAGTATCTTTGATTTATATTTGTCAATAAGTTAAGAGCTTTTATATAAAAACGATTTGCAGTATATTTGCATCTGCATGAAAAAAACTATTAAAGGGAAAATAATATTATCCCATTTTGAATTATGGAATATATTATGCAAAGAATTGAATGATAATATTTTATCAAATTTTGAACAAAAAAATTAGTATGAAAGCTTGAATAACCATGACACACGTATATTAAGAGCTTTTTGAACTTAAATAAAACTGCTCAAAATAGACCTAGCTTCTTCATTTGAAAAATTGCGAAAGAGAGAAATAGTGTTATTCCATTTTCTCTTTGTTGGGGGATCCATTTTCCTTGTTACGTTTTGATAAAGGCAATGATCCCTCTGAACGACGTTTTGATGTCGCTGAAATGGCAATATTCTTCATCTCTGATACACTCATTGTCTTACCAGCCACAATTTCGATACATGACATGTCATCGACTTTCAAAAACACACCTCCCATTTTATTTTTCTCAAGAATTCCTCTAATCTTCACACAAACACCTGGTACAATTTCTGGATTTGGTGTGTAGCTTACGATTCCCACTGATAACTTGAACTGCTTATCAACAGTCAAGCCCATAGCTTGAACTTCTGTAGCTGTGGTGACTGATTTGAATGGTGTTCGAATATACACTTCAGTGCAGATTCGAGTAGTCTTTGTCATGATCTCTCCAAGAGAAACTTCTTCGTAATCCCGATAAGAATCATCCTTTTTATAAAATCCACGACAGGTCAATGTGCTGGCAGTTTGGAAGTGATACTCCGTCAGGACGTAGTCCTTTCCTGGAGGAAGAGGAAATTTCAGGTTCATGTCACGAATTGTTCCCATCGTCAATTCGATAACCTGAGGTAAAAAATTGTAATCAGCAATAAACGGATGTGAGAAAAAAAAATTAATTGCAAAAAAATGTAGGAATGAAAATGATGACGAATATTTAATGATAAATTAATGTATGAGAAATTTACCTGGTACATGGTAATTTGGCTTTGATATTTCAAAGCGTCTCCAGCCCATAGCAAGACTCTCATCCGTTTACCAGCACCATTGTTAAGAA